TCTCCTGTCTGTTGAAAAAAATAGGGCTATCTCAACAGCATGAATGCTCTTACCACCTGGAAAGACTGGACCTAGCATATATCCCTTTCCTATTAAAAAAGAAAAAAAAGTATTTACTTATAAGTGTGTTCACCATCCTGCTGGTAATGCACTTAACAGCAAATTCAAGGAATTAGGATGTTATGGAAGATTTTGCTGGTTTGGGCAATATTTTGTTCCCCAAACCAAAATTTTTACTTTTAAAACAAATTTTAGCCAGTGCATTTTCAAATAGTCAGTCTATCCAATGGGTGACAGACAGACACAAGAATCCCACACACTTAGGTTCACGAAGTGAAGAATCTCAGTCTACAAAATTAATCTGCATGGCCAAGTGACCTGCAGAGCCAATTTTTATTTTACTCAAAGGAAAAAAAAATGAATGCAGAAGCATGGAATAGTCCTCCTGTTCTCACAAGGGACCTCATGCTAACTACTTACCACTAATATTAGTGTCAGAATCCAGTATTTGGTCACCAGGAGAGAAAAGTGGGGCAGGTGACACCTAAGTAATGGGTAAGGGTCTTAAATATAATCATTATGCTTTTATTTAGAAGACCTGTTTTGAGCTAACTGTGGATTTTGAGAATTAATTCTAGGAAATCAGTTTAAGACGAGGCCTAGAAGTACTGCCCAAGTTTAAAGGGAACAAAAATCCTTATGTTATTTGAGTTAATTGGATTGCCTTAGTCCTGTGTTCTAATGCAATCCACACTGGATTAAAAGAACAAACTGAAAAATATATAATTAGAAAGCTGGAAAGTGCATCTCACTTTTCTATACTTACTTTGTATATTTTCCAATATTAGTGAAAACCTGGCTCTACCTCTCCTCTGTCCAGCTAAGGTCCTCAAAAAGATGCAAGCAAGGAATTCCACACAGAACATTTGCAAAGATGAGTTTTCACCTGTAGAGCAGCTATAGCTTTTGAAAGTACTTTTAACTTCCTTCTAAAACCAACAGGCTTCACATTTCACATTTAAAAGGACACGGTTAAACTGCTACCATCTCACACACACACACAACTCTGCTGTTACACAGCTACTGGTGTTTTTCTGAGGGGGTGGAGGTGGGTGGAAGGAGAAGAGCGTGGGAGAAAGAAACACTGTGGGTTTGGAGATTATATTGGTGGGTCATTTTGGTAAGTGACAAAAGAACAAGGGACAGCTCAAGAGCTGGCTTGCATATCCCAAAAGCTATGTCTGATGGCTTTAGACTCACTGTTTCCAACATAAGCTGCCCCCCATTGCTCCTCCTCCTTCGAGGTATAAAGGCCAGCACCAGGCACTTAAAAAGCACACAGATAGGGTAAGTACAGAACAACCACTCTTTGCAAGCATCTTTGTTCAAGCTTTCAGCAGAGTAGGAACTTTCAAAGACAGAGGTAGTGGATCTCAGAAACAACAGGCTAGATGCAAAAAAACCCAAACCAAAACAAAACCAATCTGTCCTAAGTTTACCTTCACCCTTTCTACCCATTCACATTTTTCATCACTACAGCACTTGTAGCAACACTATAGAACTTACAGCAACAAACCAGCAATCTGGTTAGACAATATGCGAATGAAGTCTTGTTTTTACACTCAGTACTGAATCCCACTGGATAACCTCTAGCTCTTGCACTACTAAAAATAACGTGTTTCATCTCATTTGACTTTTCTGAACCATATATGGCTTATAAATGTTGTGATGGTTCCTCTTTGCTCAGCTTTGTTGAAATGCACTGATCCTTTAAGTCAGCAGAGAGAAACAAGGAAGTGGAGCCAGCATCTTGTGACCTTCTGGACATCTGCTAATCAAGCATGATTCAGTTTGGAAGATAGCAGGTGACAGAAAGTCAGAGCACAAGATGATCGAACGAGAAATATCCTATCTGTGCTACACTTACACTTCTTGCCTGGGCCAGGGCATACATCCTTTCATCAGCCATCGATTCCTGTGCCAAAAGTGCATCTGCAGGCTATGCTTATGCAAACAGCCAGTCTAGAAGCACCTTACGCAAAGATAATTGCACCATTTGAGTACAATGACTAAATTAGCTTCCAAACTATTGCTGCTTGCTACATGCATCAGCTGTAAAGCAGGGAGCAGTCAGAAAAGGTTAACTTGTAAAATGAGGAAACTTCATACAGACAGACTTGAAACTCTGCAACATGACATACAATCACTTCACAGAAGTACTGAAATCCTAATGAGTGTTAAGCACAGAATTGCACGTGCCAGAACTATCTCCTCCCTAAACAAGAAATGTAAACTAAGTCAATTTGGTGTGTACCCCCCACAAATTAAATCATATCTCACATCATATGCACGAAGAGATGAACACCTGCAATTCTTGAAAGCAGTCCTTGAGATCAGAACAAAACCATGCTGTTCTTTACAAAGCACGTTTGGTGTGGAATTTATTTATTTATTATACTCTAGTGATTTATTCCTAGCAGATTCTACGTTACAGAGATAACTCTGAAACTTAATACGCATTAAAGCTCAACATTAGAGTCAGGAAATGGCAGTTAGAAATTCCTTGTGCAATCTTAACTGACAACAGCCTAATCATATAACTACACAACACTACTCAAACATAGACTTTTTAGTGACACTGTGTATTTAAGCTCTGAAAGTTTCTCTGAAATTTTCTAGTAGGAAAAAAAAAGGCAGTTGAGGTCAACATCTCGCTGGCCCATCAGTTGTTTGCCTCTGGTTTATACAGCCCCATTCCACCAGTCACTAGGTAACTAACATCTAGTGTCTCATGCTCAAAAAGCCTGCAGGATTAAAAGAAAGTATTTTACTGATTTTCTGTATCAAATCTTTTTCACCACATTTCTGTGGTGTAATTTAGTTAATCACACACTTAACTTTACAAGTATAGTGATCATAGGTTGTTCTGTATGTGAAGCACACTGCTTTTTCATGGATCACAAGTTAAAAAGAAAAAAAAACAGTATCATTCAACACTTCTCTTCACTGAAAGTTAATTCTCACCTACTCCTAAAAGCTAGTATTACTGAGTTAAAATGAAATGGCAACTTTTTGCACCTTACTGATAACAAAGTTTCTTTGTAATTGAAGAAAAATTAGGTTTCTTGGGGAAAACCAAAGATAACTAAATCTATTTACTATCAAAATCAACCTCAGAGTACCCAAAGAGGAGCAACAAAAGATGAGCAACAGACACATGAAAACCTTAGTAATACCAGATGCCACCGCTCTTGCTAAGTTTGAATTAAGTCATAAATCCTAAATGATTCTATGATAAGGGTACATGGCACAACACTGGCAGAATGTTCTTGCACACCCCTCCAGAGGTCATAATACACCACACACCAATATTAATAAGAAAACCCCACTTAGATTAGCACTAAACTACAAAAGCATCAAAATTACAGTATTTAGTCTTTGGTACTTTGGAATGCGATAAACATCTCTGATTCATTATATACTTTATATATGCTTATCTAAGCATACAGAGAAGGAAGAAGTTAACAGCAGCTTGCTAGAGATTAATTTTGAGAGACTCTGGTCACTGGATTCACAAGAGGCCTGACATTGTCCCAGGCTGAAGCAGTACAGCAGTCCACAGTCATAAAAGTTAAAATGGAAGGGGTAATGATCAACAAATTGAGAAGCTCAAGATTTTTATTGTAATGAAGTTGAGGAGCATCAGTTTGAAATGAAGGATATCCCATGGGACAAGGAACTGTACAAGAACACAAAAAGGTGAATACCAATACCAGAAAGTGTACGCGTCTTTAAATTTGAGTTACTGCAAAGAACAGGACAAAGTATGTATATAAACCCCCCCCCCCTTTTTTTTAATTTACAAGACAATAAGAATGCAGAGACTTTAGGACAATCAAATCTATCAATCAGTTATTTCATCTTCTGAAACTACTTTTGACTGTGGCGGATGCCACAATCAACACTGCTGAAGTCTTGATAAGTTTTCAGCAAGACATGAGGAAAGACTAGCACACATCTCAAATTCCACAGCAGAGGTCAGAGGGCACTCGCTGAGTGTATATATTCCAGTCTGGAGCAGCACTGGCTGTTTTCATGTGAATTCCCTTTACTATTGCCTTTAACCAAGCATTCGCTGGGTTCACAAACAGCTCTGAACCACAGGCCTAGTAGGGATAATCAGTTGGAGGATCTGACACAACCTTGTTTGAAGTAAACCCTGAACCACATATCACAAGGCAGGGATGCTTCAGCACCAGCTACTTCGGTCTGCTCATCTGCTTCCATTGAACCAAATTACTTGCTGAGGCAGACGCAGCTATTCTCCGTCAGCATCCTTTCAAACCTGGAATTTTGCTAGAAGGTTAAAGATACGGAGGGCACTGTCAGAACACAGGAATTAGTAACAAGCCAACTGATCCATGGTGATTTGGGAAGCATAAAAAGACCGATGAGGCCAACAGGAGACTCAATAAAGGTACACAGCATTTCTCCAAAAATTCTCCAACAGTGCTCTATTTATGCATGGCAGTAGAGGCAAATGCGAAAAGAATTTAAATAGTATTTCTATTCAGCTCGTGGAGTCAGATCTCCAGCACTGTTTGCAGCATATGTATTGCACCATTTGATCATTAGTTTGCATTCTCATGAAATCATCATATAATAATAATAATAATAATAATAATAATAATAATAATAATAATAATAATAATAATAAATCTCAGCTACTTAAAGATGACCAGGTGGAAGTTCAGTAGTAACTGCAACTTCTGAAGAATATCTAGAAATTATGGACTCAAAAAATAAAGATATGTACCAATTTGCATATTCTCTAATCATTAGTTAAGTCACTGATCCATATCATAACAACTTATGACTAGGCCCACACATGCCTACAGACACAGGAAAGGTGACACCTGAAATTATTTAAAGCTAACAGTCCCCTTCTCAGGCAGACAATCTCTTGGATACTTTTTCCATCACTACTAGATGCAAAAGACAACCGCTGTGATTTTATACAAGAGCAAGACCTCTACTGAAGATAACATTGTACCTTCGTGACAAAGCCATACTCGAGTACTTCTGCTAGCTCAGGTATCAGAAACCACTTAGCCGTGTTAACATAACTCTGCCTGAGCTTCTTAGCAGGGCTGTGCTGCAAACTACATAGCCCCTTGCAAAGTACTTGCTCACCCATCAAAAGCAATGTTACTTCAGCTTTTTCTGTATTGTGCTATATGGAGATACTTCAAGGGATGCAATTTTTCCATTTTGACCAGCCTCCTTTGTGCACTGAAGTCTTTCACCAAGTGTGATTTGCCACACTGACACTGAAACATAAACAGTGTGGTCTATCATCGTTGGTTAAGTCCTTCAATAAGTCCTCAACATTTCCATATGCAGTCCATCAAATATTTATCACTATATGGTCCTTCGTAACTTTCTGATCATCCGATAAATGGATCCATACAAGCCAGCAGCCTAAAACAAGGCTTCCAAACTGTACACGGTCATCACATAAGGAACTGCACCAAAATTTCAAGCCTTACCGTTTCAAAGCTGCCTTTGTGCATCAGATCAATGGGAGGCCTGAAGAGGTCTGCTAGAGTAGTGAGTTTCTTATCTACTGCCCCTCCATTTCGTAGCTCCTGTTCCTGTCGAACTGCACAGCCCCAAGAGGAAAGGAAGCTGAATTAGACAAAATACTCACAAGATGGATTTATTATTGGCTATACGCTCATACACAAAACTTCTGCACTACAGTCATGAGGTTAGACCACACTGAACAAGATTAGCTGCTATATAAGGTAAGAACCCCGCTTGCTCCAGCTTACTCAAGCACTGGGCATTTATTTCACTTTTAGAAAACATAATAAATGTGAATATCAGCAGACGGGGTCATATGCCAGTACTTGAAAACAAACCAGCAAAAAAAAAAGCCATGACTGGTCCCCTGTGATGCTTTTAAAAGGGGAAACTGAGCTAGATTGTAGCATCATGACTTTTATTTGGAATATTTCTATTCCAGTGTTTCTATTCCTTGACTGTAAGGCAATCTCACAGAAAAGAAAAAAAAACACGAAACAAAAACTCTTAGTTTACATGAAGAAATATCTTTGGATGTTTATATTAAATATCTACTCTTCCCACAATCGGCTTGGGATACCACTGTCTCTTTCATGTGAATGCGTTTTCAGACTAGTTTATCCCCAAGTACCACACTTGGAGCATGTTTCTTTTAGTGGTATCAATTCCATTCAGAATAATACAGAACATATTTCCTAAATAGATGTGACCATATACAATAAAGGTAAATCAGAGCAATTGCTCACCTAAAAATGTAGCGATACAATATATTTTATGGAATTAAGTCAGCTGAAATGGGCAAACTATCCCATAACCAGAAACTTTCCAGTAGTGAAAGGAGCTGTCAGTGGGCCATAGCATACAAACCATTTTTGAGCAGACACTGGATCCCCACAGGGAAAAAAGCATCCCTTTGGAGCAGGCCTAGAAGCCAGGAAGTAATCCAGACTTTCATGGCCAGGGCCGCTTTTTCAGAGATAGCCAGACAGTGATATTCATCTATGAAGTTCTACCAAAAAGCATGATAAAGTTTCATCATAAACTCTCAAAATAGATTTACATGTTGTGCATCTCTGAATGTCTTATAACAGAGTGGAGACAATGAGAAAAAAATTAAGGGCATGATGATTCTGTAAATGGTGTATTTCGTTTACACAGTGACTTTAGTACTTGATGAGGTCATTATCGCTGGAAAACCCTGACCAAACCTGTCAGGGGAAAGGAAGTAATTATGGATACTTATTTTCAGTTCAGCATCCAACAGCACCTAACTACATGGGAACCTGCTCTATGGTCAGACCTCTTGAACACTCTAGCAACATCAGCAATAACTGCACAACAGCTCTAACTCAGCTGTGAAATATCTGGTGTTCTGCTGCCAAAGAATCCTATTCTATAATACTTAATGGCTTAAGTAACAGCCAATGCTTTGTCATTTGAAGATTCTGTGTATAAACAGACAGACAGTGGTAAACAGCAATTAAATTCATGAGAACCTTGTGTGCGGCCAAGGAAGAAGTCTCAGGGCTACTCAAATCTAATTCAAGTGCCAGCATGACCACTGGGTAGCCAAGAAAAATACAGTGGATGAACTTAATTTCTACATGGGTGTTAGATTCTTCCCCCTTTTCAATTCCCTCTAGAGCAGAAAAAGTATTTTTTTGAGAGTTATCAAGAAAATATTTGCCATACCAAAGCAGACAGAATATACTGTCTGCAGGTTTTACTTAAGTAACACAGGCAAGTGTTTGGACCAGCATCCTCACTACCTGCTTCATATGTCCATTACTCAGCACTCACCCTTCAGCTATCCCAGAACAATAAACTAACAACCTTAACTGTACCACAAATGTGGAAGAGACATGTCAGCAAACAGTACTGACACTACAACAATGAGCAGCCTAATAATGTTATTAAAAAACCAAACTTTTGCTATAAAGTAGGCAATTTAAAACCATTCAATGACTGAAAGTTGTCATAGCCTACAATAGAAACTATTTTTCATTCTTACTTGCATTAAAAAAAAAAACAAACACAGAACCTCTAGCTTACTGATCTGTAGACACTTACTGGTTTCTGTTTGAAAATCCCGAAAGCCATCAAATATTGAGCGTGCAGGTCTGCGTCTTTTAGGAGCTTAAAAAAAGAAAAATCAATAATTATTTCAAAAGTATACTATCAAAAGAACTACATATTAGTACTTTCCATCACATGTGTGGGAAAACAGAATAGGAACCCAAAGCATGAATGATGTGGGAGTAAGGTCATTCATTAGGAAGGGCTGGAGGAGGCTGGAAACAGGTAGTTTGTAAGACCCATTTCCTAACACATCCTCCCTCCAGCAAACCTTACCCCAGAAACAAAACTTGTATCAACAACACACAAAAGTTTAAAGTTAGCCCTTTCTGATGGGCTCACCAAGGCCCATCAGTGTGTAGTGGAATTGCTGTCACAGCATCAACATGTCACAATTCCAGTCACAATTTTTACAAAAGACCTTCCAGTAGATTAAAAACTCCAAAGGATTAAACCCCATGGGAGAACATTTTATTTATTAGGAATCACATTTGTTTTTTCCACAATGCATTTCTATTCTTTGCTAATCTCTTTCTATTCTTTGCTAATCTCTTATCCAGATCCTTTCCCAACTTCTTGGCTGGATTGGCAACAGCCACGCTCCTCCACTGGAACCAGTATCACTATCTGCAAGGAAACCTTCAGAATACATTATTTGCAGCTGACAGAGACAGCAGCCCAGGCAGATAACTGGAATCGTACCTAAAAGTACCCCTGAAGTCCTGTGGTACAGCACAACCACTGTACTTGGGATGCAAAACAAAATTGCCTGCCAAGACTCATTCCAACTATTTATCTGCATTACTATTAATGGAAAGCAGAACAATTTTAAGACAGAACTTTCAAAGCCTAATTGTTACAAGACATGATAAATAATAAACAAATTAAACAGAATAATATATATACAACATATACCCACCAGAAACCTGTAATAAGAAAAATCATTTACGGTGAGAAAGCATGACCTCCAGACAGGTCACAAAACAAGTACTTGCAAAATTTTATTTGAGACACCTTTCTGGTTTTGCACCCATAGTACATGCAGCATCTTTCACCTTGTGCCACACAAAGAGCATAAAGAATGGTACACAGTTCTTGTTCCGTGCATTCTTCTTGTACAGAGTACGAAGGAAAGAATCAGTGTATCCCGTACAGAATACCACGGAAAAAGAAAGTAAGCCTAAATGAGGAACATACTTGTGAATAATGCCTCTCTAACTCCAGTAAATAACATCTCTCTCACCTCTAAATGCTTAGGCACAAGCACAACCCATTAAAGCCAACTTCAGAGCAACTTAAACTGCAGCTAAGAATAGCAACTGAAGGACCACTTCAGAAAAAGCAGCATTTCCCTTGCCAGGCTTAGCTACAGTCTGGCAGTGCTGGTGAAGATCATAGAATCATAGAATACCAGGTTGGAAGGGACCTCAAGGATCATCTGGTCCAACCTTTCTAGCACAGTCTAGACGAGATGGCTCAGCACCATGTCCAGCTGAGTCTTAAAAGTGTTCAGCGTAGCGGAGTCAACCACTTCCCTGGGGAGATTATTCCAATGGTTGACCGTTCTCACTGTGAAAAATTTTCCTCTCGTGTCCAACCGGAATCTCCCTGGGAGTAACTTGTACCCGTTACCCCTTCTCCTCACCATGTGACTCCTTGTAAAAAGGGAGTCTCCATCTTCTTTGTAGCTCCCCTTTAAGTACTGGTACATGGTGATGAGATCACCTCCAAGCCTCCTTTTCTCAGGGCTGAACAAACCCAGCTCTCTCAGCCTATCCTCATACGGCAGGCTTCCCAGACCCTTCATCACCTTGGTGGCCCTTCTCTGGACCCCCTCCAGCCTGTCCACATCTGGTTTGTATAGCGGGGACCAGAACTGTACACAGTATTCCAGGTGTGGCCTGACAAGCACTGAGTAGAGAGGGATAATGACTTCTTCATCTCTGCTGGTGATGCCCTTTTTGATGCAACCCAGCATCCGATTGGCCTTCTTGGCCACAGCAGCACACTGTTCACTCGTGTTGAGCTTCCTGTCCACCAGGACCCCCAGGTCCCTCTCCACGGAGCTGCTCTCCAGCCAGGTGGATCCCAGTCTGAGCTGCACTCCTAGATTATGTTCTCCCAGGTGCAAGACCTTACACTTGTCTTTGTTAAACTTCATAAGGTTCTTTTTTTCCCACTCTTCCAGCCTATCCAGATCTTCCTGCAGGGTGGCTCTCCCTTCCAGAGTGTCTACTTTCCCACTCAATTTGGTGTTATCTGCGAACTTCATCAGGCTACACTTGATCCCATTATCCAGACTGCTTATGAAGATATTGAATAGCGTTGGCCCCAATATCCCTGGGGGATCCAGGATGTTCACACAAGATGTTCACACCAGTCCAGGTAGATATTTTTCTGATATCCCTTGTACTGCAAGATGGGATCCATGTATCCGGCAGAGCACAAATAGACAGGGTCATCTCTTCAACTGGAGGAAAACCTAAGCTCATACGACCACCTCAATATGCCACTGTTAAAAGCAGAAACTGGCAAGTCTCCTGCTTTGAGGTTAGTGCTGAAAAGACCAAGTGAAGTATCTCTCTGGTTTCAGCTATCTTGTCAGGCTGCTTTGTGTTAAACAGAAGTGGCATTAGTGAGCATATAAGCACTGGTGGACCAGACAGTGCCAGGAGGCTATCACTGATCCACAGATCGCCTCAGGACGGCAGTCAGTGACAGTGCATCTGAGATAGTGTGTGTGATGGGTGGGCAGAACAGGACCAAGCACTAGGGTCAGCAGATCTTACTCCCGCACTTCTTCAATTCTTGAACCCACAGGAGTCTACAGATCTTTGTCAAAAACTCTGTTGGGCCACAAAGAAATCAAGAGCAACAAGCTGGCGCAGTGTCTTTGGAGAGCCCTCAGCAGGACCTCTTCCTCTGGAACCACCTCTCAGCTTGTGCATCCTGGCTAAAGACCTCTCTGATGTGGAAAAACAGGATCAACAGAAAACCAGTTCCAGCATAAACCTGAAGTTTAGTCTCCTTCTCCTTTCTAGCACAGGAACTAAACAACAGAAAAGCACATTTCCTATGGGTATGAGACCACTTTAAAGATGAGCACTTGCATGCCCTTCCTCGATAAAAAGGGGAAGACACTGAATTCACTTGACATGGCAAAAGCCATACATACAGCTAGAAACAGCCTGGTCAACATGAGAAGGGCAGAGCCTCACAAGGCTAGAGGAAGTAAGTGTAAAAAGAGAGAGCCTTAGATCTCCAAACAGACATGGACACTATACAAAAGGAGAGGAAAACACATCAGGTAATCCAGTCCTGCTACTGAAGTTCCACCCCTGTGCTGCTGTAAAAGAACCACTACAGCAAAGGTTTGAGATTGAGGTTTTTGAGATTCAGAATATTACTGTATTACATGAGTACTAAACAGTGTTCTAGAAAAGCACCCAACAGAAAACAGCATTTCCATCATCTGTTTCCTTAGAGCAAAACAATGTTTCAAAAGTAAAAGCGATAAAGAGCTTCAGAAAACAAACAAGAAAACTACTGCATGGTGCAGTTTAAAGAGCAAATTAAAGTCCTAAATGAGAAATGGAGAAAACGATGAGTAATCATACAGTTCAGCCCTTTCTGATCTATCATCTACCTGAGAAACATGCATTTGTCCTCTTCATTTTCACTCATCAGTCAAAGCTCAAGCTTTTATCCCACCACCCTGAACACTTTCACAGCAGTATCACGTGGTTCTGAACCCCCAGAACGCAGATGTATAGTTATCATAGCTAATTGGCTGTTGCCTCACAAAGTCTCATGAAACTGGAGTTAGCAAATTAGTGCCACTGGGAACGCTGCATCTCTAATGTGCAAGGTTTTCAATAACACTGGTGTATTTCCAAGTATGCAATCCTGTTACATGGCAGTAGAATTGCAGTAGGAAAAAAAAACCAATAAAAATACATATGTTTTCTTCATATTCAGCAAGTTCTCTTTTACTTTTGTCACTTAGCTCATTTCAAGGCAAAGAAAACAAAAAAACCCACAAAATAAGAACACAAGCCTACCTCCAAACAAGGGCTCAGGCTCTACTAAAATTTCCTGTTTTTGAGGAATTGGAGCTCGTACTTCATCCCTATCAAAGAAGAAAGAAAAAAAAAAAATCAAAGACATGATAATATTCCAAGTATTACATAAACCACATCCCATTGTGCTCCAAAGGCTCCTGCAACTTGAACCAGCTAAGGATGCTGCTGTACCATTGCACAGAATCAAGAGATTTGGGGTCAAAAGGGACCTCAAGAGACCATCCATGCCCACTCATGGCACTGAAGCAGGACTTAGTACACTCTGCATTAAGATCTGGCATGGATGACCTAAGTCTTGATAGAAGATTACACAGATCCCTGGGTGACTTGATCCCAGGGTTTGTCAATCTACTATTCAAACATTTTTCTTCTTTAATAACGGTCTTAAAACTTGGAAAAGTTTCTTAAAACTTAGCAAAGGCTGCTAACTAATCTGCTTGCCACCCTCCTCCCCTGATTATCTACATAGAGGGGGGAAAGGAAAAAAAAAAAAAAAAGATTATCTTCCTTCTTACAAGCTTTCTTCTGTTGGAAGATTTTTTACTTCCACTTGAAACTCACAGCCCTATCTTTTCCAGAGAAAGGAAACCAAGATGGTCAAACCAGCCATTTCCCCCCCATTTCTGAAGCAATTCTTTGCTTCCATAGCTGGGCTCCCTGACATACCAACAGCTCAGTTACGCTTGCAGAGACTGCTAGATAATCTGAAATTATGACTAGGAGAAGAAAGGAAATCTCAAGGGTCCTGAAACGGTATCATTTTCTCCATATGATCACCTGGCCCATGGATCTATGCGAAGGAGGACATGGGCTCACCCACGGAAATCCACTGCTATACCCTGCCTATGAACTACTCCTGAAGTGCCCTCTTCCCTCGGACTCTTCGAAGTTGTAAAGTGTGCAGTTTGTGGCTCTTGGCCATGCAGGTTTCAAAAAGTAACTCATAATGTCAGCAAGATGCACTAACCTTGCTATTAACCTCCACATCTTTGATTGCTGTTGTGAAGCTAGTTATTCTCCATTTTGCATTTGCATATTTATTGTTCTCTCTTCCTAGAAGTAACACTAAGCTGCCCAGCACCTGGAGGGTGTCAAGTATAAAAAAGAAAGTATTCCAATAAAAACTTGAATCTTAAGTCACTGATGTGCCAGAAGTTGTCTAGAAATAAGAACTCTAACACCTATATATACAGAGTTTTAACTTCATTACCTGTCAAAGGTTCAAGCAGGAAGACACTTGACATCAACTATAAAGGTTAGTACTAAAACAGTTGTTTAAATTTATACATGTGCTTCAGAAGTATGAGTGGCAAGAATTTTCTTTAAAAGTTAGTTGTCTTTTTCCTGAAGACTTTCATAAAGATGAAGGCATGGCTAGGTTTAATTTAGAACATTTAACGAATGTGACTTATACCAATTAGCTTCCACTCAAAATATTCCATTTATCTCAGGCAGACACATTAACAGGCAGCACTGAACAACTGCCATGCTCAAGTGGAACAACTCTTTCTTTTATTGGCATCTGATGTGTAAGACACTGATGCAGATTTTGTAGTTGCTTATTCCTCTGCATACTAGCGTACACGATCTAGCCTTTCCAGTGCCAAATCTGATTACACTTAGAACAACATAAAAAAACCTTTACAAATGGAACTAAGGTCACTACATTTCATAGAATCATAGAACCATTTAGGTTGGAAAAGACCTTTAAGATCATCACATCCAACCGTTATCTATAAGAACCAAAACAACAGAAGTCTCTAACTGCCAAATTAAGCAAGACTGCTGGAGCAATTGCAAAGTAAGAATCTCTTACTACTGGATCCCCACTTCAATGTCTTCAGCTCTGTTTGCAAAAGACGATATGTATAATCTACAGAAAACTTCTGAAGTACATGCAAGAGAGAGTAACTTATGTTGGTCTACATACCAACTTACGCAATAAGAATTTATTTACCCAGAACAACATTGGAGCAATCAATTTAACAAGATCATCAAAGAAGCACATATTACAGTGAGTTGATAGCAGGTTAGAAGTGACAATTGTCTTATTTGTTCTGCCTTACACTATGAAATTCTTCAGACAGACTACTCATTTATACAGACATGTTCATCAGGTACATACTCAGTGTGCGGTCGAACAGCAGACACCCCTGCAGAGCTGGTGCTAGGCTCCTCTGCTATGCCTCCACCATCCAGAAACATGGTGACAGCCATCTCCAGATTATTGTTGCATGCTTCAAGCATATGCTTTCCCACGCTTTCACTGGCACCTGTAATGCCAAAGAAAAATTAAGCCTTTCTTTGGAAAGCATTTTGATTGGAAGTGCCAGGAACAGCTGACCGGCAAGCCTTCTCTCTCAAAGCATTAATAATTAGAAAGAACAGTTCATCAGTTGCCCTTTATCTCTGACGTACAACTATGAAATGAGACAAACATACATATCTCAGAGGGGAAGGGAATGCCCACATACAGGACAGCCAGACTTCTTCCTTCCATCAAGAGAAAACTTAGTGGAAGCCATCTGAGGGGTTTTAGCATGGTTTTTCTTTTTTTCTAGAGGTCAGACCTTTTCCTGGTACAATTTTCCAAATGCTAGTAGGCATACACACACAAAAAAGAAAACCTGACTTAACATTTTAACAGGGAGAATACTAAATCAGCTGCTAGAGTTTTTTTACCCACTTATAACAGATATTCAGAGATGGAAGAAAAGATACCCTGTTTTACTGATTGCACTAAAAGGCAAAAACAAACCAGCAGAAGCTCAGTTCACATAAGAAGGGGAGAAAAAAAGCCAAGAGGGAGAAAGCAATATTTGTCTACACAGTTATTTGTATAATGACTAACATTTATTAAAATCTCTCCTAAGTGCAACTAAATCCAGTTTTACTCTTGCTGCTCAGGATGAAACACTAGTTTTTAGCATCACTTGTAACTCTTTCCTCAGAGGGTCAGCCTCTACCTCCCAACTTCTCAAAAATGATACCATCTACAGAAGCACCCCCAGCAGTGGAAGCTCTTCTATGCCCAACCCTTTAAATGTCTACTTACTACAGCATCTGTCTCTATAGGTGGTGGACTGCCAAAGAGTTTATTTTCATATGGGAAGGCTGGTAGGGAGGAAGAGTGGCAAAATGCAGCTGAACCAGTTTGGGAGTAGCTTTTGGATCTGTAGTAATTCTTACTAGGTTCACTGCAAGTCACCAAAATGAAGAAAACACTTTCCCCAGCATCAGAATCACAGGTAATATCAGTTTGGGCAAAACGCATTTGGATGTTTCTAAGAATTTCTTGGAAAGACTCAAAAAGCTCTAGTTTGAACAGACTAATAACAGAGAATACACTTTGAAACTGTTGAGATAAATCAGTCCTAAATGATATGCACCATTACATTAAATCACGGAGAAAGCCAAAGTGACTGAGGGAACTGGTTTTTCAAAAACAACCAACCCGCGTACTCAGATGGCAGTCAGCTGTATTTTAAGACCTTAATCGAGATGAAGAAAGTGCAAAGTAAAAACCAGTGACATCTCAAAAAAATGATGCGAGAGCACCAAGTTCGCATTCTTCAAAAAAACTGCTCTTCGGCATTTTCAGCTCATTTCAATTTTAACTGTAGCAATTAAACAATACCTGTATGGTCTGGAATACGTACACCACGCTACAACCTCACCGTACAGTCATGCAAAGTCATTCATTTAGAAGAACTGGAAGAAAAAATGGTATGCAACCCTCTGCTATTTAAAGTGTTACCAACATGCAAAGTGCTTGTATTGATTCTTCATCACTGCTAAGGAAACTCCCATCACATGAATGTTTTCAGTGCTTGCACTGGCAAACAGAAAATGCTAAATACTTGTTAGGTCTCAAAGCAAATTTCAAAGAGATCCCATCATTTCATTGGTAAAGATCCACAGGAGCTACATTCTCTTAGCAATAGTTTTCTGGATGAGAGCTCCAAAGAAACATAATTCTGCCACCTGGGTAAGAGAAATATATCAAGGACTATTTCTCCTCATTCCTCACCATCACCTACGCTAGAATCAAATTGCTGTATAGTATTAAATCAGCCTTTTCCCCGGACAGGAGTGACTTTGTACACTTACAACTCAAAGCTGAAAGCTGCTAACACAAACCACTGAGGGTACGCGCTTCTGAGCACCTGTCAAATCATGCCAGTATCGGCAAGACAAGCTCCATAACAACATGCTTTTAGATATAACCTTAAATTCTGTTAAAATGGAAAAACAAAACTTCAAAACTCTAATAGTGGATGGGTGAAGCCTAGTAGGTTCTTTTTTTCCTTTTCGAAAGCGTAAGAAGGGTGCTCTTATGTTTAACATAAAGCATCTGTATAAGTACAAAAGCTGTCAGGAAGAGCAAACTAGCATGACTCCACCTGTTCTGGTTTGGTTTTTAGCAAATATCTCAGGCACTACCAAAAAAGAAAACACAAGGCACACACGGGCACATACTATAATGAAAATGTATTTGTTGTAGGTTCTTTTTATTCAGAGGGTTTATTCTAAAAGGCTTCTTTAAGAATAGCTGAGCAATCAATAATTTCCCGGTGTACCCTACCAGCATGTTCACAGTGTACTAAACATACTCTATATCCCTGTTCAGGATTTCAGTGTATCCAAGCCTGATTACAGGGACACAACCTAAAACTGAGCTGGTTAGAGTAACCAAATTAAAAGCAGTTTCACTTATATCAACTAAAAAGCCAAAGACGTTTTATTAAACACTCCTTTGGTATTTGATATATAACGTCATAAGCAAGGGGGAACTATAGTGAAGCAGATTAAACACAAAGTGGGTCAAGTACTCAAAGTACACAACCTAAAGCAGGAATTATCACCTGCCATAAATTTCAATTTAAAATCGACTTGCTATTTTCGTTAGCAAACTAAATTCTCAAAAGTCGACTGTAGTTTAAGATACTTGTTTTTTTAAACGCGGACTCGGGGTTCAGCTCCGGCCTCCCTCCCAGCCGTGAGCTTTATTTGCAGGAGCAGGACGCGGCCCCCGGGGCGCGGCGGACTGCACCGGACCGGACCGGACCGGACCGCACCGCCGGGAGGGAGGACGCGCACCGGCACCACCGAGAAGCCCGGCCGACCGGGGACAACGGAGAG